CAAAAGGGCAATAAACAAGTTCCCGAGCTGTATTCGGCTTCGCCATGCCTCGTCATGGAAGGCTCTCATGAAGACACGGTCCCCAGAGCCACCAATAATGTCTGATTGCCAGGAAGAAGTTGCGAAAGCTGCCATCCTTGAGAAAGTCATGAAAGGTCGCCAGCCGACGGATCTTATGCTTCGTTGTGAGTGCTTTGCAGCTTTCACCGTGATTTCCCCTGTAATATTGCGTAGGTACGGTCCTCGATGAAGAAGGTACAAAAGTTATTGAGCTCATCGTTCAAACATTGTACTCAGAGTCAATTAGGCACTGTAAAAAGCATTTCAGGCCAGTTCAAAAAATCGGATTTATGTACCGAACATCGATTAAACGTAAGTTCGGACATGAATGACACTTACACGTCCTCTGCCAGCGTTCGCTAATGTTTTAAACAAGCCTCGTGACTTACGAAAGATAGACTCACGAGTGCCCAACCTTGTCCCCACCATTCTCATACGCAAAGAGGCTGTCCTGGTGAGCTTGTTCCCACTCTTACGGTCCTCTAACCGGTTCCAACCGTTAAATAAGATTAATATCCTACACATACGAGCTTTGGTCAAAGCTGACACAGTTATTTTGTTTGATACATATGGGTCTAATGACTCGAAGCTACATTCGGTATTTCTGTATCATCTAGAAGTAAGCCGAATAACTCTGAACGCCTATCCCACACGAACTGATTTTTTTTTCGTAGCACAATCTCAAAGCACGCGGTAGCGGGGCCCCATACGAATTCAGGTAAGGGTCATTAATGCCTCCTATTCCGAGAAGTTATCCTCATTGGACAGAGCTATCGAGTCCATACTTCTTTCCGTTCTCAGCGCGCTAGAAGCTGAGATGGTCTTCATCCGCAACCTCGTTGGCGGCCTCTTGGCTGAGTTGGAGGACGATATTAACCACGACAAGTTTAAACGTCTGTTACACTACTCTAGACGGCTGGCAAGCTTTAAGAACAGGGCAAAACTGGTAGGGATTTTATTCCCACACGAGTCAATAAAAGTCAAATCTATTTCCTCGCAGGTCCAGGAAGCGTTGGAAGAATTGCTTGAACAAGGTTTTAGCTACATCTTGTATAGCTTGCATCACACCTTACCATGACCTCCACACAGATGAAGATTTAGACGCCATGTATCTGACGGACAAGAAAAACAATGCTCCGCGGGAAATACACGAACACGAGGAACTTGAAGTTCTGCTCGAATTTTTCTCTAAGCAAGTAGAGGAAATAGTAAACGAGGCTGAGAGTATTGAGGTATGGCTGGATTTATTGAACATCAACATAGCTTCACCATTTGCAGAGCAATGTCCAATCCACTCAGGAGATCGTGGAGTTAATATTGGACTCAAATCGCAATGCACTTCTCGCTTTGGATCTTAAAGTGAGGTTGCAGTACATTTATCTGGGATGCTTGTTTTGGTAATCGTACCCCCCTCAGGTATCTATTGGCACGATGGGGCTTGGTACAGGAGCACTTGTGGCAGGTCTGTTCGGTATGAACGTGAGTTTTTCCATGTTATGAAGAAAGACCATTTGTGAACCCGCGGCGATGTAGTTGCAAAGCCACATGGAAGATATGCCTTACGCCTTCGTGTCGATGTCGATATTCTCTGCCGCAATCGCGCTCCTTGTTGCATGGGCTGGACTCCGAAGGTATCTTATCTGATTTCATAACGGTCCGCGATGCCCATCTCACTCCGTCTGCTCTCCTAGACTCGCAAAAATACGGAAGGTCGGATTGTCCAATCCCAAACACGGACACGCAATGAGGGCACGCAAACCGTGGATTCCTTTGCCATTACGCCGCCGAAGCTCCGATGGATGGTCATGATCGACCAGAACCCCATAGAATAGACCACGCACTTCCTTATCTCTGCCTCGCCTCCACTATCACCATACTCATCTACCGTTTAGATGCCCCGCAATTCTAGGATCAGCCTCATGTAATCTATCTTTATCGCAACCCATCTCTGCATTATTATATATACTCCATTGTTACTCTGATTGAGCTAGTTAGCTACAGCTAGATAGCATCATTTGTTCACATCTATACAGAAAGGGACTGTCGTTTCCTCACTTCGTATAGAATTTCTTACCCGTGATTATATCGCCCGTGCTTTATCGCTGTCATGGTCGTCCCGAACGCTATCGCTATAATCATGATCTCCAAGTCCTATGCGCAGCACAGATACGCAAGATTACATTCAATTCAGTATAAGAATTCGTGTCAATGGGCGGTAAGATTAGCAAGATGTAGCATGGAATTCAAATCAAGTGTCGAGATAACACAGCGCCGAGGAACCGGAAGGTTGGGGTCAGAACAACATCATGTAGTAGAGATACAGGCGTTAGCACTATTAAGGTAAAACACGAACAACATCGATACAAAGATAAGCAACGGGCTTGCGATAAACGCAGCAGAGTTCGGGTTACGTGCTTTAAAGTTATGTATGTATGACGTTGAGGATAAAGTGTCTGCAGATATGAAGGCACAGCCTAATCTTTGGGTGGCGGAGGCATATCTGGGATAAGATAATGAACTGGGCGATTGCTCCCGAAACTGGCCTTGTGGGATAGTTCTGTCTGTGATGCGAATGCCTCTCCTGATTGCGAGGATTCAGCCGCACCGGTGGTAGTGGAATGCGTGTCCAGCGTTTGTGTATCTTGCGAGTTACTTTCTTGTAGCTCAGAAGGATCATATTGTGGAACTGGTTTGCGTGGCGTGCGGCGAGTGCCTGAATTAGAACGCGCAACAGGTGACACAGGTTGAGGGAACGGTGGATAATCGTCCCGTAGGCGAGTTGGAGAGGCTGGTGAGCGTAGTATCGCTCCTGGCGACGCGGGCATAGACAACCGTTCTGTGCGCAGGTATAGGGAGCCGTCCATGGATGAACGCAGCCGCTGAGCTTGTTCCTCGAGCGTATGGTTAGATGTGCGGGCAGACGCGGCACGTATGCGGCTGGATCCTGCGAGAGACGGTGCTTGGAGCGAGTATGTAGACGAACGATTATTATTGAGCGCAAAAGGAGCGTCAACGATGGAGTCGAACGGATTACGAGCGGGGAGAGAATGGCGTGAGCTGAATTTCTCGTCTCCACCAGAGACGTCCTCGTTGGATCCTCCTGGAGTGGACACCACTGATTTATCAGTCGCAGATGGTGGGAGTATCTCCCCTGTGGAGCTGGTGTGTCCTTGGTAGTGATTGGAGGCGAGATCTCTATCACTTCCCCCAGGCTTAACATGCGAGTTATTTGAAGTGAGCGATCCCCATCTGCCAACAACAGCACGGTCGCTGTTTCCTCTGAAAGGCTGGCGGCGGCGGCGGCGTTTGATGAACAAAGCGCCAAGCAATGCAAGTAATGCTACGCCAACAATCCCACCGACAACACCTCCCACAATAGCACTGGTGTTATTTTTGGGAGAAGGAGCGGAGGATTGAGCAGTAGATATTGTGGGAACGCCGCTAGTGGAAGTTGTGGCAGGCGATGTCGAAAGACATGCTAAGTTGGTACCGTTGCTAACGAAGAATTGGGGAGAACTTGTGCTGGCGGTGATATCAGAGACAGAGACAGAGCCTTGGATCTCATACCATCCCTGAGCTACATTAACCATAGTCCAGTCCCAATATTCGGCTGCAGCGTTTGGGCTACCTAGACTCTGCTGAATCCCAGAATTCTGGCGCGGTAGATGGCTTGAAGATTTCTCATTGCTCTGTGTGACGCCAATATTTGTTATTGACAGTGAAACAGTACCGGGTGATCCAGAGTAGGTCCATGTAATATTTGCCGGTGTACAAGTCGTCATGTTTGCGATGGATCCGAACGTGAAGCTGGTCTGCGACGAGGGGGATGGAGGCGGAGCCGATGAAGTGGCCGTTGAAGATGAGGGAGGCATCGATATTGGTCCTGGAGCGGTAGGTGGTGGGCTTATCGACTGAGGTCCAGGGCCGTCACGCTGTTTATGAACAGCAGAACCCTCTCCGGCAACTTGGAGGGCTCCCGCCACGGCGATGAGGGCAGCAACAAGACAATCCAAAGCCAGCATTTTACCTGCAGGCAGTTGCATCATTGGCGTGTCGAAATAGATATTGATCCAAGAACTCACCAGCACCGAATCTAGATGCTCGCAACGAGGCAAGGCTGCTTCGGCACAGAAGAACAGAAGCTGCTTTTCGTGCAAAAATCGCTGTGGGTAGACAGTGGCGCCGCTCACAAAGCGTAGATGGAGACTGTGAAGCTCGCAAGTGGGTGGGCAAAAGCCATGCAAGGGCACTCTGTGATGAGATAGCCGCCGAGTTCTCCCAACAACCGCATGTGAGTGTTGTTACCACGTGCAGTACCCACCATAAAAAAACATCGGACATCTAGCGCCGTAGCGGCATAGCCCCATTACCCGCGACCCAGTCTGTCTGTAGTCCATTTGATGCTGATGTGGTTTTGCTGAATATACAAATGTCGCAAGTAATCCCAACCACCGATATTATCCAACCACTTCATTACTACAGTTGAAACTTGAACAAAATCCGATGGGCAGACTCACTTTGCAAATCGAGGTTTGAAAGAATAGTGAGTCAGTAGTAACGACGTCGAAAGAATCCCCCCTTTGAACCCATCGAGGAATCTTTTGGATACAATAGGTTGCAAGACTGGTGTCTAAAGCGTAATAGAAAGGTTCTGGTGAAGTCGAAGGTCTGAAAGCTTGCAGCTCGTTCGAAACTTTACCAGTGCCGGATTGCCGCAGCCACGCTGCAAACGCCGCGGGACTTGAAAAGATGTTGCCGTGCGCATGCAATTGTCATATGTAACTATTTTTTTTACTTATACTGATCCGGTCAAAAATGGTACAATTGTCGGAGGAACGTCGGGAACAGTGTAGTATTGCGAGAACATATGTTTGTGTTCTGAAGCCAGGGGGTAATGATCTACAAAGGTCATGAACTACATATTGGGCTACTTGACCATCGGTTCAATGGTCTAGTGGTTATGATTTCTGTCTTACAGTGCGCTTACGTAAGCTGGACACAGAAGGTCCTGAGTTCGATCCTCAGTTGAACCAGTTTTTGTCATCCAGCAACCTGGATGCTATCTTTTTTTGGTTCCAGCAACATACAGTCATCTATAAGTCATTGAAACATTATCAGTCAGTGAAACAACCATGTTCACACTCATGCCACCACATAAAATACCACATTTCATATGTTAAATGGTACTTCTTGATGCTGGCTTTCAGATGAGCCAACTTTTATAATTTTATCTTCAGTAGTTGTTGAGAAAAATGCGGTATGTTTTTGGTGAAGATGTTGTTATATATAATTATCACTCAATGAAGCACCTCAAAACACAAATAACTCTTTAACAATTAGTCTTCCCATCTCCTTGTTGTATACTCACATGTATATTGTATGTATCAAGGTCCCCAGTATAAAAAATTGCATGAAAAGATCTGTGGTGGTGAATGAGAAAGAATTATAAGTTTTCCTGTTGCAGTGACCCATAGATGACTGTACATTCATCAATGTGCAAGGTGAGTCAAATGCCATAGCTACACATACAACACGGGGCTGCACAAAAAAATGATTCCGACTCTTCAAGCCGTCGCAGAACTCATAATCAATAAATTAGTGTCATACTTACATCTCTGCTACATTCAGTGTTGCCAGGTTGGGCATTCCGATCGTGAGTTCGATCCTCAGTTGAACCAGTTTTTGTCCTCCAGCAACCTGGATGCCATCTTTTTGTTTCCAGCAACATACATCCATCAATGTGCAAGGCGAATCGAATGCCATAGCTACACATACAACACGGGGCTGTGCAAACCGAATGGTTCCGACTCTTCAAGCCGTCGCAGAATTCATAATCAATAAATTGGTGCCATGCAGTTTGGACTTGCGTCTCTGCTACTTTCAGCGTTGGACATTCCAATCGATGGATACGGTGAGCCCAGTCCTTAATCAGGCCCATCTGATGTCGACATAGATCAGGGGATACGGCAGTCAAAATATAGAGTGAGGTCATCACTAGAACGAGAAATCTCACCCTCTTGGCCAGCTTTCCTCACAGATCGTGTCCTAGACTTTCTTGGGAAAAGGGATCACTTCGGCATTAAGGCCTCCCGCGAGTAAGTACCTGAGCAAGCGTCTATTTTCGCACATAAGTTGGAAATCGGGTCAAAAAAAAGCCACCAACTGTCAATAAGTTGTCGTGACCCCACAGGGGTCCCCATCCATCCCAATACCCCTCGCACCCAATTCTCATCTGTCACAGGAGAGTGACACCCTTATCTATCCTAGCGCAAAGATAGATTGAAGAAAGTTGGGCTGTCAGATAAGATTCAAGCAGGACAAATGCGCAAGAATAGAAGGGCAACCCGCGAAGCGTTGCAGCAGGTCTAGAAAGGTAGATAAGAGACGCCGAGCTACCCTACCGTCGGTCCCTCACTTCCCACCAAGATCGTAGTTGATATTGCGCAACTGAATTGAAATGACGCGGATGGCACTCACTCTGAGGTTATCCTATCGATTTAATCTCAGCCAACGTGCACAGCGTTGTTCTGCAACCACGAGGAGCGGATGCCAATCGTGTCAGTATCAAGAAAACGTTGGCAGCGAGCGGCGCAAGGAGATAAGTACTTATAGCTCATGAGCAGCGTGCAGATATGACGGATTCATCGGAAAGGGCGCATTGGGTCCTCCTGGGCTAGATAACAAACTGTGGGGCCAATCTCGTTCATTGTATATCGTTCCAGATGACCAGATTGATTAAAACACGCGTCAGAGGGGGCTACCTTTGATCCAAAGTTCGCGTCACCGGGTCCGCGGAACTTCGTTAGGGCATGGCGATCGTTTCGTAGGAAAGTTAATGTGTACCCCATATCGTCATCGAAGAGATGATCGTTACAAACAGCTCATCTAACCATCAATAGGATGCTCTCGTTTTCTGCTGGGAACTTGATGAATCTTTTGGGTGAGATCCTTGAGCGGGATAGCGACACCGAGAATAACGCTGTAATGTCAAAGATAATTGAAATGACTGCGGCAGTTCTCACCAAACTTACTCCAATGTCACTTGACCATAGTCTACTACTGAACAATCATCAAAAGGAAAGTCGTGTCCCTGAGAAGACGGACGATGATCACGGACTTCACTTAGCTTGACATCTTGCAGTACAGTACAATCGACAAATGGATTCCTGATATAAACTTGCATAGATTGGTATCCCCCACTTTAAATATGCCAAACTGTGAGCAACAACAGCTGGTCTCCCGGGTCTGCCAGCCGAAGCGTAAGATATTAAAGGGAGTAAATGAGTCTCGTATTTAGCAAGGCATCGGCACCTCACATACTCATGTCCCAGTGAATATTGGAGCGACTCGATTGTACGATTGTTCCAAAGAGACACGTAGCTGAACTTTAGATGGGAATACCATTACTGTCGACAAGTGATAAACAACAGCGCCGCATGCCCTGAAACGAAAACAGGATCCGTCAGCAACACGCATCGTTGTAGATGAATCGACGCTCACCCTAATTCGAGCATGGTTTTTAGAAGCGGGGTGAGTAAAGCTGCTGTGATGCCCTGGTGCCTCGGTGCATCACAACTGCGCAGACCAGACAGGGAAAGGGACCAAAGGGATGGGTTTATACAGGATGACTCGAGGATTGAAAAAGGAGCTGATAGTTACCGGCTAGCAATTTGTCAAAAGCAATGGGGACGAATGGCAACTTCAAGCACTTCGCCTCACCCGCATCGTCCAGTCCCTTCTCAACTTCTTATTTCGTATGGGGCTTCATATTTCCCTCTGGTCCTTCACAAATTAGGAAAGATTCATAAATCGTACAAGTGAGACATCATTCCGCTGGTCTGTCTGGGGGCGATGTTATGACAAAGGACAGTCTATAACCATAGGAGAACTGACTTGATGTTTGGCAGCTTCTGTGATATCCCAGATTATACCGACGCTGCGAGTGCTGGCAAAAAGTGTATGAGTTTGTATAAACCGTACACGAAGTACCGTGACGTCTGAATGTTACAGGTATGAGCCTTATCCGGATTCCGATTTGCTTCCGCTTCTTTAACTCGTCCAGCACGTCAACTTGACATGAGTGCTGCGTCTGGTAATACCTTTCTTTTCACTTCTCTCGCAATAATTGCTGCATGGATATACAACACTCGCCGGCGCAAAGCCACAGCATCCTCGGGAATTTCTGACAATATTTTCGGTATTCTCGTGCTCCTGCATACAATTTATATTGTCTGGACTTTGACAGTACATCGCCCACCAAACCTGTTTACGCGTCTAAACATTCCATTAACCGTATCGGTCGAGAAGATAAGATCTCTGCTGCTCAGGGAAGCCAGTGTGGCAGGCAATGGGCAGTCCGCGCTTACGGTAGCCACTCCCCTACCCAACGATCTCGAATTTCTGCTCAACAAATTGTCTGGAAAAGACTCGAGGCTACTTTATTCTCGGCAAGTCAAGAAAAATTCATCAACCAATAACCCTGAGTTTTCATACTGTTTTGTAGATTCGGTCAACGGGCAATACAGACTTGCCAGTACTGCTCATCCACGTTCGATTACACCCTCTTTGTATTCTCTGAAGCACTCCTCGGCTACGTCCGAACTGCCTTCGTCATACTCCTCCTGACAGTCAGTGTCAATGGTAGAGAACGGTGGCGCACGGTTGCTATTGGCGCACTCGCTTGTACTGCTTTCGCAGAGGCGTATGTCCTCACAACTACGAGCGCGAGCTTCTCCATCCCCGAAGATGGCCGAGGTGCTATTATGGTACGTTTCAAGATTGATGCGCCAATAACTAAGATGCTCATGGAATATCGCATGGCGGCTACGTCTACAGTGGCACGACAACGTCTCTCTAGTTCGAAACGCTGTTTTCCTGCTCATCCCGCTCCTGATCCATCTCCAATCCGCACTCAAACCCTCAGGCCCAGCCTCCGCAAGCCTCGTGCCCGTGCTCGCCCACCTCGAGCGCTCTCTCCCCCGGGCACACCTCCTCAAGTACGCACGCGGAGCTATCATGCGCAGACCAGAGCTACGTGACCCTGCTGTGCGGTGGTGGGCACGAGAGGCACGCGAAGGGGAGATCGCTCGTGCCGATCCTGGCGTGCAGAAAGCTGCAGAGCGCATGGGGCTGGGCTTTGGGGAGGCGAGGAAACCCACGTTGCAAGGAGAAAGTGAAATACCTGAAGGACAACTCAAAACGAGCGCGAGAATGGCAGTGGAGGGATTAAAGGGTGTCTTAGGTCACCCTGTTAGCTAGGACACTGTATTTCTATCGTCGGAAGGTTTGTACATTATAGTTAGATCCTTACACCACGCATATCCGCCTATTCATCGTGCTCGGAGAAATTAGATAGATCATTCCCCGTCACTAAATAGTAGATAGCGAGGCGACATGGAAGCCAGACAGAAAGAGGTATCATCGGACTATGAACAAAGACAGATTAAAAGTAAGAAGAGCATAACGTTCCTGACCCAGCCAAATGCGACAACCACGAATGTAAAACCGTCCACCTAAACGTTCCAGCATCCAACCCAAGGTAATATCTAAGGAGCGTTATCGGATGATAGTTCCTCCCCCTCCTCGCATGCCGAGCTGTCCTCTGCAAGCTCCTCATCGATCGCTTTCTTCCCTGCCTCTGTTAATACAGGAACTCCGGAGCTGATGTCCTTCTCGAAGTATGATGGTATAAATCTTCGGAGAAACACCATCAGTACCATTATCATGATCAGCATCAGCATCCGCCGTAATCCCCGATGCAATATGACGCAGGCGACTAAAAATAAAGCCAAAAAATAAGAGGACTCACTCCACGCCCTTCCGTTTCCGCTCGCTCGCCTCATCACGCTGCTTCTGCTCGATGGCAAGCTTGTACTTCGTCGCATCCCCATACTCCTTGTTCACCAACCGCGACGTCACGCCGTCCCATAAATTCCGGCTCTCGTTCGGGAGCTGCTTGTCAAGAGGCCGAACGACCTTCGGCACGATGTGCAGGGTCGAAAGGTCCACGAGGGTAGAATAGTCGGATTCAGCAGGGACGAGGGATGCGTTCGACGCGTTAGAGGAAGGCAGGGTCGCGATGCGTCGCCACCGGATGTGATTCCGCCAACAACCATCAAAGACGGCCAGGACACGCGATTGGGGAACATGTTTGACCTTCGTCCACTCTTGATAATCGGTCTCGTCTTCGTCAAAAGTGTGTATAACGCCTTCGACAAGATAGTGGGCTCTTCCTAACCAGGACTGGATAGATAAGGTCAGGTCAGTATGGCTGATCTGCTATCGCGAAACCAATACATACTTCTTCTTTATACTCGATCACAGCCCTTAGCTGAGGACCGCCTTTCGGGCTCGTGCATGTGACGATTGTGGAATCCCCGACAGTGAGATAGAAACTTCCTCTCAGAATACCATTGACCGAGGCAATCGGGTGGGTGATATGATACTGTTCTCCTTCTCCAGCACCACCGGTGATATTCACGTATATCCCCTTATTAAATGATCCCGGAGCGACACGCAGTGCCGTCCCAGAAACCTTTGCCGATATCTGGTCAATCCCTGCCATGGAAACCGATCGCGATGGACAGCATGCATAGTATGCCGATACGGGGGGGTGATGTGATATCTGTTCAGTGAGATACACCACACGGATTCGTTCCGGCTCCGCATTGTCGTTATTACCAGAGCCAAGGCTTAGATTCGACATGTGGCCGTTTAGCAAGGCATCGGGTAATTGTTGTGGCGACGTGGGCGCTGTTGAGGGACTCTGCTTGGTCTTGGAGAGAAGGCTGAGCCCGCTCCGGGTGCTCTTGGAGCTCCGGTTGCTGCGGGCAGATTTCGTGCTTTCCGTTTCGGAAGGCATAGCGTTTGAAGTCCCTGGAGCAGGTGGAGAGTCGGTGGTGTGCACACGGAGGATGGGTGGCTTCGTGGGATCTGAGGGGTATTCGACGGGAGGTACATCCCAATGCGATCTGAAATGTTCACCCAGAACAGAGTTGTACGGTTTGCATACTTTACCGTGCTTTCGAAGGGTAAATAAGTGAACAATCGGCAAAGTAAATAACGTACAATGAATTTGAGGTCCTTTGTAAACGTGAACCGAACGACAGCCAACATCCGTTCGAATGGATCATTAGAATCGTTAATCCTGAATGAGTGGTATCAGCCCCGTCGACGGTGGAACTGTTAAAGCCACTCAACGCAGCAAACAGGTCTGGTCTATCCAAATAATGCCAATACTCTAGGTTTGGTAGTGGTTCAAGCAAGGATGCAGGAAGGGATAAGCGCCTGAAAGGTTGTGAGCGACAGGGCAAAGTGCCAATGTGAAAGACAAACATTGCGGCGATGTCTTTGACTCCTAGTGATTTCTTGACAAGCTGCACGATCATCTTGAGCTTTCCGCCTTCTCCAGCATCGCCATTGTCTGGCACAGATATCGGTGGCCCTGGTGCATCCTCGTCCATGATGGCAGCAGGGTCGAGTGGCAAGCTATCTTCACTGGCCTTTGCCATCGTTGTTCGTTCAAGTCGTAAAGGACAGAATTAGGCGTCTGATTGTAAGTTTAGAGAATGCGTTATGAATGAAAAGCAAAGGAGGAAACGGCCGGAGTTCTGTAAAGTACCACAGAGTCACACAAGGGTGTGGTGGTGGGAGCAAAGGATGCTCCTTCGACTTTAATGTATATGAGCGCTTAATTCACAGCCGCATCGTGTTCGGGTGCGGGACTGATAGACTAAGTACAAATTGGTTCTCTTCTGGCACATCACCAGCGCAAACAACAATACGGCTCGCAGCCTGAAGAGGATGGATTTATACCAGTTATAGCCAGTAGGCGCTGTAGGTCCTCCCAGCAATAATGTAATGATCCGGGTCGAGTACATTGTAAAGCCCCTCAGACTTGCCATACGAACAAACACTGATCCGATTGCGAAGCGAATCAGTGCCATCTGCTGCGAACGTTGGCACGAAAATTGGGACCCTGACAAACTTCACCGGGCCGACAAACGTTGACTTCGCATTCCGGAAGAAAATCGCGACCACAAAAGCAATGTCCTCGAGCTTTGTGGAATTTGGGTTGAAATGGAAGTAAGTACTGGCACATGACCGATGGTGTGACTGACTTTTGGAAGAGAACATCATGGGTTGTGCTTCCATGTGAACGAAAAGGATTGGAGTGTCCAGAGCAAGAACATCCATCGCTCATCTCGACCGCCGATGAGCACACGTAGCTTTCTTGAGCAGATGCAATGGCATCTAGGGACACGAAGGCACGTCAATAACTATGTGCAATTCGGGATCTGCGCTCACTTCAATCCATCAGGATTCGCCGCCGGCGGGTAGATATAGTGGATGCAGTAAAAGTCATTTACAGACACGTCGACATTCGTGCAATTTTCACAACACCAAAAAAACACATGCTTCCGTTGGATCTGGCGTTCGGGCGATCTCAGGCAAAAAGGACTGTTCGTGGACTAAGGACAAGAACTGGGCGAATACGATGAAGCTTCAATTGAGTGTTGTCCGAGTCTGGAAGACTAAAATAACTTAGGGGATATAAAGCATCTGTAAGCACCATCTTCCATCGGTTCGATGGTCTAATGGTTATGATTTCTGTCTCACAGTTAGCTTATCCAAGCTGCCCACACAGAAGGTTCCGAGTTCGATCCTCGGTCGAACCACTTTTTGTTTGATCGTTTCAGGTTCAATGTACAAGGACCCTAATTTCCTTGTCATGCCACTTATTTTCTGGTCGCTAAAGGTCGCGTACGACGCGCCGAGAATCAACCCGAAGCTCACAGACACCGCCGAAAACATCGATCCGGAGTGATAGTCATATAAAGGAACGACTATCCTTCTATGGTATGCCTAGGAGAGACTAGAGTGATGGACTAATTTCGCATTTCATGTTCGCTGTGTTTTGTCTGTTATAATCACAGTAGTGTGTATTTGCGCATGTACCTAGGTGAGACTCTGATTTGCTGCACCCACCCATACAGCTCCTTCAACATTTTCCTGTTGTTTATCATCGACTTTCAGCTACTGTCGCTCCAAATGAGAGAATTAAAAGGAACCTCGCTGGCGTCCCGCCTTACCCACCACCTCACGATCCACCAAGGGCCCTCCACTCCCTACCGAGAGCGCCTTCGTGGCGCACGCGATGTCAGTTGCTGTGACTCTGCATGAAACGCCGCTCATCCCAGTCATTATAGAGCATTGCTGTGCACAGAGTGAGCTATCCGATCCACGGTTATCTCAAAAGGCAACACAAGCAAGACGAAGAAAGCTTCTCCTATATACCTGATATTGACGTTAGTCCATTGCTTGCCTACGCATGCTTATTAGCTTACTTAGCGCATTGTAGCCCGTGCCCATTCATAGGATGGTGTTTCCGGTTGTGTCTCATAGCTCTTCTACATCTCAAGCCGGTATGGGCTTTGGCACTTTGCCAGGCCGGCTTGAATTTCCTAGCGACGTCATCGGCGATCTTCCGTTATCGCTTGAGACAGAGCACAGATTTCTGACGAGCTCGTCCTCCGACGGGGATGTAGCACCCATGCATCCCGATCCTGCCCTTTCGTCTCGAATTGTGTCGTTTTCGAAGATCCCGTCAGCCTCCCTTCCGATGGATCCAACAAAGGGTGATATTGAAACTCCTCTCACCCATACAACCCCGCACAGATCACTCCCCGGGGTTCCATTGAATGCCCGCCCCCTCCCGTCAGAGTCAGTTGTTGCACACAAGGTTGGGTTACCCAGCTCTCAAGAATCCGTTTACGCCACTCCTTTAGGATCGCCTATGGGATCACCTACATTTTTGCCTGAGCTTGAAATGGGATCGTCCGATATCCTATCATCACCCCCAGCCAGGACAATGGCTGTCCCAGATCCCACTGCTCTTTCGCGAAATTCATCGCCTCCTCGAGCTAGCACACCCTTCGTGCCGGATCTCAGTATTCTCTCTCGAAAGGCCGCCCCCCCACAAACGATTGGCCCAAATATGCAGTCTGGCCCCGCCTCAACGCCTTCACCTACCCCGATGCTCCTTGATTTACCGCCCACCGCCAGCGAGGTTGTCAACATAGATGAAGATACGTGGTGTTGACTACATGATGGGTTGGTTTCGATCTATTGGTCCTGAAGATATAGCATCTCCGCCTTCATGCGACGGCGTCCGAAGCAGCGATATATTCGTCCACCACAACCAGACCTCTGGCAAGTACCAGATGTGGATCTGGGAGGGGTCCTGGCTTCGAGCAAAGAAAGGACATGCACACACAGCAGTTCATGGGCGACGTCTGTGGCTGAGAGAGGATGGGGATCCCCGTTGGCTGACTCGGAAGACGTTCAGCTCCTACAGGAAGAAGTTGGGTAATTTGTGACGATGCAGCTAGCTGCCATTGTATGGACGTGTCACTAGGCAGGAGTTTTATTTATCGAGTTGGGTTAATGTACTGCATGTAGTTACCGCTGTGAGAATGGCCTAGTTACATTCCAAATATCAGTGATGTATACCAATGTTCAAACGTTCAATATTGAACTCAACGTTCAACGTTCAGGCTGATCAAGCTTATCAATATCATCCGACAAAGTTGATTTCGAAATTCGAGTAACCGCGGGACTGAGCCGGCGCTTGCCGGATGACGTGAGATGGTCTTCGGGCGGGTCATACTCCGAGTTCGATCCTCGGTCGAACCACTTTTTGTCCTTTCTTATCTTTATCCCCACCAACCTGGAACTGATAACTGTCCGACAGCACAATATATATAACTTGAAGTAACCTCATCTTACGACCGGCCTCATCTCACTCAAGTCGTGTCTAGAGCTCGCTGGAGACATGGAATGGATCCCATTGCAATTGCGTATGTTCTGTAAACTTTTCTCCCGATTAGTTTTCATAAAAAAAAACAGCATGATTTCCGACTTCTTCCACCCTAATGTGGGTGGAGTGGAAAGCCATATATACATGCTAAGTGCAAGTCTCATTCGCCGAGGCCACAAAGTGAGTGCATGCACCACCATCTTGTCCTAATATTTGATCCCTGTAGGTCATCATAATCACACATAGTCACCCCCCTGACCGCGTGGGCGTTCGCTGGCTCCTGCCTGCCTTGAAAGTTTACCACATACCCTTCCAGACTATCGCCTCTTCGGCGACTCTCCCAAACTACTTTACATTTCTCCCGTACTTCCGCACGATAATTTTACGCGAACATATCAACTTAATACACGCGCACGCAAGCCTGTCTTCACTGGGACAGGAAGGAATACTTCACGCGCATTTATTTGGCGTTCGGACAGTTTTCACAGACCATAGCTTGTTTGGGTTTGAAGATGCTGCTAGCATTCTTACTAATAAACTTTTGGCTGCTGCCCTCAAAAACGTTGATGCTGTTATCTGTGTTTCACACACTGGGTATGTACTTGGTATGATATCCCATCTCGGATTGTGACCATATGCTAACGGTTTTGGTAGACGAGAGAATACAGTGCTTCGGGGACAATTGTTTGAGCGTGCAGAAGACGATTCTTCGACCTCGATTGTTAGAAAGAGTGTCTATGTTATCCCCAATGCCCTCGTTGCACAGCAGTTTACCCCAAGAACAGAACCATTACCATTAGATACCAGTGAGCTGTTTCATCGCATTTCGACTACTTTGTTTTCATGTCGACCAGTAAACGTTATCGTGGTATCCCGTCTTGCATATCGAAAGGGCATCGATCTCCTTGTGGTCACCGCACCTCGAATATGTGCTGCATTCCCAAACGTGAAATTCATCATCGGTGAGCTTCGTTTGTCACTTCCTGACTGTCTGGTAACGAGAGAAAACTTGTTTTGTCAATCGAATAGGCGGTGATGGACCCAAGCTGAACGACCTGCTCCAAGTAAGAGAGCGTCACCTCCTACAAGACAGAATCGAGCTTCTTGGTCCCATTCGGCATCATGACGTCCGAGATGTAAGTTTGAGATTGTTGCCCCGTATAATCATTTCATGTGGCCTTTTAGGTCCTCGTGCGAGGGTCGATATTTCTCAACACGTCGCTAACCGAATCATTTGGGATCGCTATTCTGGAAGCTGCATGCACTGGCCTGTACGTTGTGTCCACTCATGTCGGAGGCGTACCAGAGATCCTACCAGAGAACATGATCTCCTTCGCGAAACCAGAAGAAGACGGTGCGCCCCATCACTGGTTTCGACTGACCTTCGCTGCTAATCCTATCAACTTTCATCATAATGCACAGACGTATTCCGTGCACTATCGGAAGCCATTAAAATTGTGTCTGAGGGCAGGCATTCTCCGATGGAGGCCCACGAACGCGTTAAAAGTTTCTATGATTGGGGCCAAGTTGCTGAACGCACGGAAAAGGTGTACGATGCTGTCTTGAAATCGCCGCCAATGGAGTTTCGGACTCGGATTCAGCGGTAAATCCCCACCCACTCAGCCCTAATTTTATAGTTTGCTCATCGTTGTGGATCTTATAACAGAACGATGGATCTTGGTCCGTTCGCTGGCCCTATTTACACCATCATTCTAATCGTGGAATGTCTATTCTTCTTGTTTCTCGAATGGTGGATGCCTAGAGAAGATTTGGATTATGTACATATGCATTGGGATCAAGCACGTTTCGCTCAGGTATAACTCGTTTCCCCCTCCATCCGCATCCCTGATATTGACACATTAAATAGCTTGTTGAAGATAAACTGGCGCAGGACCGAGATTCAGGCGACCAGAGTAACAACGATGATACTGATTGATGACAAGACGGGTCAGACTTGGGCCTGATGTTACGAGTGGTGATAGCATAGTTCCATCAAATGAAATACTAAAACTATTGCCCAAGAATAACAATGTCACGAATTTAAGGTATGTATATGTGGTGTGACTATTATGCAATATGTCTCGGTCTCCTCGGTTTCCCAACCCGCCTCCTAGCCCTCTTCGATCCGTCGAAGTCATCATCATCTACCAACATAGCTTCTGCATCATCCACCATCTCATCCCTGTCCCTCTTAACGGGAAGCTGGATGGGAAGGTCTACCCTGTCCCTCAAAGCGGGTGATGTAGCGGGGTCGTCCAAGGATAACCTGTCAAGTAACGATGTTCGATGACCAGGAAGGGCGTGGTCATCGCGGGATATCGTTCTGTTGGCTTGAGTTCTGTAACGATTTCCAGGGTAGTCATCCGACCGACGTTCAAAATCGGATGACCGATCAGATCGGGAGGTGTTTTCCTCAGGCCGTTTGTAGGGTGGTTGTTCCATATCGCTGTGACGTGGTGCACGTCCTCCACGGGGGAGACCGCTGCTGTGGTCTGCACGAGGATGCGCTGCGTACGAACTCTGGAGGAGTAGTTCACGCTCTGGATGAACCTTACGAGGTGGCGATTCCCTTCGTGAATGGCCCTGATCCTCATCAGCTACATATTGCGCGCTTCGTGAATCTTGGAAGTTTTGTCGCGGACGCTCATTGGAATAGATTTCCGGAGGACGTCGGTTTGACGCTGGTGGCATCATGTTGTGAGCTGGGGGCCCTTCGTCATAGCGATTTTCACGATGATTCGGAGTGCGACCATTTGGCGGGAAAGCAGGCACACGTTCATTCTCCCGGGGACGACCATCATAATGTTCCTCAAACCGACGGGCACCTTCATATTCATCCGTGTGTGGAGGTGCATATGC